AGAACGTGGGAGCAACACTCAAAGAGGAAAGAAGTCACAGGCGGACGCTGGCGTGGGAGGTGGAGGGAGGAATAACGGGCGGGCGGCCTCTCGCTGCTGGAAAAGGGTGGAAATGGCCTCTCCTGCAGCCCTGCCACGCTGGGTGTCACCCCCATGGGAGCTGCGGCACTGGGAGAGAAGAAATGCGTGCTGCAAGCGAGGAAGTCGGCGGCAACTGGCTAGGGCAGCCCTAGGAAACTAGAACGGGGGCTCCCGGCGTCCAGGCCCCCAGCTTGTGTTTCTGCAGGAGGTGCTAGTACTGGGCTGCCGAGAAGCCTGGCGACGGGGCCGGCTTCTCTCCCACCCACCTCCTTGCCTCAGTCAGGCCCTTCCCTGTACCTGGAACACCATCTCCTAGAAAATGCCCGTGGGGTGGCGGGTCCGGGCTGCCCCATCACCTCCACTCCTCCCTCTGCTTCCCATAGCTGTTGGTTCTTTTATACTCCTCATCTGTCCTGCCCACCTGGGACTCAGCCCCACGACGGGCTCCCCCTGAGGTTGGCCATCGCAGCCAGGCTAGGAGGTCAGGCGGGCCCGGGCTCCAATCCCAGCTGTCCTTGCCCAAGCTCTGTGGAGCCCAGCAGGTTACTCGCCCCCTGGGAGCGTCAAGTTCCCACTGCAAAATAGGGCATAATAGTGCCTCTTTCTCAGCATGGTTTTCAGGAGCCTTCTTGATCAGGCGACGGCTTTTTATAAAACGCTGCCCTATGCGGGAGCTCCTGTGTGTGTGGGAAGGTCCTTACGACTCAGCCTCCTGGTACTGCTGACTCTAGCTCCTGTGAGTCTAGGGACTCACAGCTATCGTGCTTCGGAGTTGGGGACATTCCCCTGGTCACAAGGCCCTACCTGTAACAGGAGGACACTGAAGCCTGGAGTGGTGGCCCAGTGCCTCCAGGTACAGGTGGTTGGCCACTGCTGTTTCCCCTGCAGCCCTGCTTTCCTGAAGCGGGACTAATCGCCTCTGCCAGATGGCCCTCCTGGACTGGTGGGGAGCCTCAGCCCTTACACGCTGGCATAGGGGGTTTGGGCCTCAGACCCAACCTGGGCCCTAGCAGCCCATGGCTCTTCAGTCTCCTCCCTGCTTAGTTGGCCTGGGAAGAGTCAGGGGCAAGGGCAGCCCTCTCCCCAGGAGGGCATTTCCATCACAGTCTCTTCCTAGCAGGCCACTTGAAGGCCAGGAAGTCCTTTCCAAACTCTTGGTTTCTTAGAGCAAAGGCCAGGACAAGACCACCAGCCCTCGGGCTCTGCTGCTCGTGCTCCGGTGCCCCGTGTGCCCCAGCCTTCTGCTGGTGTCCTCTTGGAAGCAGAGCTGGTCTCCTGTCAGTCTCCCCCCCCAGCAATGGGGTCCACACAGCCTGCCCCTGAAAAGTCTGTGGGTCCCACACCCAACTCTGAAAAGATGATCTAACCCTCTCTCCGGTGAAATTAAAAACAAGACACTGAACTGTAAGACGTAAGAAAGTCTAGACCTTCTATCCAGTGTGGAGGGTCACCTTGAGCTTTGGGCTTAATAGCAAGTCTTTTCCAGAAAGAGTTCCCTTTTCCTAGGTGCACCATGAGGCTGTGGGGCTGACTGGGGGCTCTGGGTGGAGGGAAGTGACTGAGGTCCCATCAACTTGCTTGGGCTGTGAGGGGGCAGGGGAGCTCTACACCTCACTGGGTGCTCCAAGCCCAGCGTGGGCCCCTGTCGCAGCAGGGGGAGCCGGCTGGCAGCCTTGGGGTGGACTCCCTCACCTTACTGGCTCCTGGCAGCAGATGCAGCTTGACGTAGGGGTCCGCCAGCCCGTTGTGGTCCATCGGCTTCAGGCCCTGAGTGGAGGGGGGACAGCCAAAGGTGTGAAGAGGGAGCTGGAGACACAGAGCAGCCAGGGCCTCCGGGCACGGGGTTGGCAGGCATCCCTCGTGCCCAGGCCTCCTGGCTGGGTCCCCTCACCACCCTCTTTGCAGAGACCCCTGAACCCACGCCCTCAGAACTGGGAGGATGGCTCAGCGCCAGAGCAATCGCCCCTCCCCCTACACGTCCCGGCCCAGGGCAGGCGTCACGGTCGGTCTTTGTCAGACCAGCTTTTCTCTCCTCCAGATCATGGAGGCCAGGTGACTCACCCTTCTCTGAATGAGGGCCTCATTATCCTGCTTTGGTGAGGCCCTTCCTTCTTCCGGATGCCTCTTCCCCCGCTCCCCGAACCCACGGCTTCCCTCACTGACCCTCTGCCCACGTGACCCTCTATCCGCTCATCTATAGGCTTCCCTCTTTCCCACGGGAAAATGTTCTGGGTCCTGGAGACCAGGTTCAGTTTTGCTCCAGATTTGCCACCGCTCCCTGCCCGCCTGAATCCAAGGAGGCCACACGTCCTGGCTGGCCCTGGAGGGTCCTTCCACAAGATGGCATCCCTCGCTCGCTTTGAGACTTCAGTCAAGTGTGCACAGCCAGGGAACCAATGGAACCATAAGCAGACAGGGTCTTAGCAGACCTCATGCCTGCTCTGGTTTCTGGAAATTGTATTTTCTTTCTTCCACGGTGGCACCTGGGCATGAAGGGAGGCAGCCGTGGCCTGTGTGGGGCTGAGCTCACAACCCCGTGGCATCACAGATGAACGGCCGTTCACGACCAGGCCCACCTCCAAGGAGGATGGAGGCTCTCACCCCCACCCCCCCGGTTTGGCTTGGAGAGCTGGGGAGGAGGGGGGCTGAGATTGGAGGTCAGGGCTTCCAATCTCCCTTCTCCCCCCTGGTAGGGAAGGCAGGGCACACGGCACAGGAGGGGCTGGTGTCTGGAAGGGAGAAGAGACTGGGTGGCTCTGACCAGAGTGGCCTGACAGCAGGTGCCTGCTCCCAGTTCCCAAGCCCGGACCACCTCTACAAAGCTGGGTGGAAGGAGAGGGAAAGGGACCTGCCCGGGCCCTGCGGCTGGCACCCCACGTTGGTGTGGCTGCGGATCACCAGGTTCTCAGCTCCTTTCCTAAGGGCAGGTCTGGAGCCCCTGCATCTCAGCCCGGGCAGCTCCCGAGGGGGGTCAGGGCCAGGATGGCACATGCGGGCTTCTAGGTGTCCAATCAGGGCCCCGGGCCCAAAATGGACACTACTCCCCCTGCATGGCAGTCCAAGCGTGCTGGCTCAGGCCAGGTGACGGCGGAGACAGGCAGCCTGTCCCTCAGGGTGGGCAGAGCCATGGGTGAAGGTGCTAAAGGGCAGAGGAGCTCCCGGACTGGGACTGAGGGAGGGGTCTGGGCCCAGGCCCCTCCACGGCTCTACTGGGAGTCCCACTAGGCTGTACTACCACCCTTACCTTGCGGGAGAACATCAACTTTGGCACCTTCCTCCCAGAGGAATCGATGCGGGGGGTGGAGGGAACAGCATGGCTAAGAAGAGAGCTGATGCCTGCCAGCCGGAGGCGGGAGACGCCCCCAGCCCCAACCCAGAGACCAGAGAGCAAGGCTGGGCGCTGAGCCCACGGGAGATGAATCCCCTGCCTGGAGCAGGGCGTGGGTGCCCACCCACTCGTCGGGGTGCCCAGGTGTTGGGAACTTCAGGGGTCACAGGCAACCAATTGGAACCCTCTGGGTCTAGCAGGACATACCTGTCATCTCTCCGCTTCCCCTCCCTTCCCTCCACAGCCCCTCCCCAGCCCCGCCCCCAACCTGTGCCTTCCTTCTCTCATTCGCTTTCTGCTTCCTTGTTCTTCTCCTTCCCTGAGTGCCTGGCCCGGCAAGGCCTTCTGGGGCAGCGGAGAGGATTTAGGCCAGAATTCCCTCCCTGCCCTGCACCCACGATGCAGGTGCCACAGGGCCCAGACAGGAAACAGTGGGGAGGATGGGCCTCTGGATCTCAACCCCCGCCTCCCACCAACTCCAGCCGGGGCCCCAGACCCCGGGGACCGTGGGAGCCGGCGGGGGCCTACCTTGGCCTTGCTGATGGTGCAGTGCAGGGCGTTGTTCTCCTGGTCGTAGAGCAGGCTGAAGTCCAGCGTGCCCAGGGCAGCTGCGGACAGGGGGCTCGGGTCACGCACTGGCCACACAGTGGCAGAGCATCATCCACCCCTGTGCGGTGGGACCAGGTGCCCACAGTGACTGCCATTGACCAAGAACCTACTGCACCCAATCTCTCCACCCAGCCTCTTAGCCCCACCAGCCCTAGGAAGCGAGCAATGTCCTCCTCACATTCCAGACGACCGAGGAGCCGAGGTTCAGTGAGGCTACGTCAGCCCCGGTCACCATGAGTAGCGGCCCAGGAGTCAAACCCAGGTGGCAGGCCCCACAGCCCAGACCCCCGTGCTGTGGTGCTGGGCCTGGGGCTGGTCCGGCGTTGGGCCCAGTGTGCCTGGGGTACAGGGCACTCAGCTAAAGGTTCCTGTCCTCCCGCCGTCCTCGTGCAACTGCCAGACTTGGCTCTGTGCGTCAGTTTCTCTCACCCGTGAAGGGTCACGAGGACGGTGGGAGAAGTCAGAGGAGACACGGCTTTGAGAGGCTGTGGGTCCCGGCCAGGCTGCCTGGCTGACCCCCCCACTCCCCAGCAACACCTGGGGCCGCGGCTCCCCCGTCTCTCTGGTCCGCTGGGGGGCCCCGCGCAGGCAGCAAGGAGCCACCTAGGTCCCCACGCTGCTGAGCTGCAAGCCTTTTAAAGGCAGCAGGCAACTCTCTAGGGCTGGGCAGAGCATTTGGCAATAATTGGGTGCAGCTGCAACCCTGGGGGACAGTCACACACAGCAGCTGTGTTCTCCCGTGTTGACGTGGCTCCTGGCACGAAAGCGGGGGTTGTGGGTGAGCAGCAGGCCTCCAGGGGTGAGTCTCTGGACAGTAAGATGCAAATTCACAGGATGTCTTTGGAAACCCAGACACTGGCCGGTCAACTGGCACGCTATTCATTCATTCATTCTTTACCAAACAGTATTACGATAAGCTGGTTTCTAGGGATGAGGATATCAATAAGGCGGTGCTACTGCCCCAAGGAAAGCGGAGCTTAATAGGAGAAACAGATGGAAAGAATCTACCCTAACAGAGTCTGGTGAGCGAGGAGCAATAGGGGTCTAAGGATGTGAACTGGGGCCACCAGGGAAGGCTCCCTGGAGGAGGTGATGCTTCACCTGAGCCATATAAGATGATTAGAGGTTGGCCAGTACACAGTGGCACTGGGAGAAAGGGCATTCCAACCACAGGCCGACCGGGGGCTGGGGGGCTGAGTGGGTGGAGTGAGGCTAGGGGGAGGGCGCGGCTCTGTTCTTCCGGCCAGCGGCACCCAACACGGTTCTAGACTGAACTATGGCCCAGTGGCCTAGTCCAGCCAGGCTCATCTCTTCACATCTTGTCCACGGCTGCTTTTGCACTATGGTGGCAGAGTGGAGTAGATCCACAGGGACCGTATGCCTGCAGACCCCTGGGCTCGTGCAGGGGCCAGGGCATGGCTAAGTTTGGCTTGGCAGAGAAACGGGCAACTTAAGGGCCATGCGTGTGCAGCTGCCCTTCATTTTGAGGTGATGGCACTGAGTCGCATTTGTCTTGCCCCCTAGCTCCTAACACAGGGCAAGGCAGCCAGCCCAGTCTCTGTCCTTGCCTGGGAGGGGCGCACGTGGGGTAGGAGACCCGCCCTCTGACCCCGGACCTCGGGTTCAAGTCCTGGCTGTACTGTGCTTCTTTGCGGTGTGACTTTAGATAGCTTTTCTTGCCTCTCTGTGCCTCAGTTTCCTCATGTGCAAAATGGAGACACCACAGAGCCCACCTCACAGCATTGTGCCTTAACGCAGCCCCTGGGGGACCGGAAATGCTCAGTATGTAATTATAGAAAGAGCAGATCTATTTTGGCGATTTTTCTAGATAACTGTACTTGCCCCTCCGAGACACCTTCTGGAATGAACTCGTTCCAAACTGGATCACTCCCCTCCCGGCCTTTGTGGACAGGATATACAAATGGTCACAGATACTGTTTTCTTCGTTTTTCTGCCTCCTCCTTGGCCATCAGCCTAAAACTCCTCTTAGAATACTTGCCTCTGGTAGGCACACACAGCTCTCCCTCCTTTTCAATCGTCCCTTGTCTGTTCCACGAAACCAGGGGAGAATCTTTACTAGAATTGTGTCCAAACTATGAGTCAACAGGGCTCGAGTGGCGCCTAAGGCGCTTTCGTCAGTAGAGTCCGTGTGCTTCAGCGCTATCTGTATCTGGCTGCGGCCTGGATCCTGGCTCCCATCTGTGCAGCTGGGCGGGTGGGGGTGCTGTGAGCGAGGTTCGTATCACCACGCCTGTAACAGCGCACAGAGCCACGGGCCCCGGACTCTCCAGGTCCCTGCCTGTAGAATATTCTCCAACGCTGTTGGCTCTACGTGACAGGAAATCAGTCTGCTGTTCGGTTCAGGCCTCCCCAGGTCCAGTCTCCCGCCAGACATGAGCTTCCAGAGAGGAGGGACCATTGCCTCAGCCATGCCAGTGACACCGGCAGGGAGCAGATGTTCAATCCACATGGCCGGTCCGTTCCAACCAACTTGCTCTCCAGCTGTTCAAGGGAGCGGGGATTGGGTGTGATGCCCACGTGTTAAAAATGCACACCCCACGATCTCTGCCCGTTGCCCACTCTCAGAGAAGGACAGCCAGCCAGACGGCAGGGCTACCTGCTCCCCACTGGGGAACTTAGGTCCAGAAGAGAAGAGCCCCTTTCACCGGCTCTCCAGCCACACATCCCTGTTGAGGGACAGCTGACGCTGCTCGGGGAAGCCAGCACCTGTTATCAATTCCCAGGAAGGAACAGCGCACCCAGTGCGGTCCCCCCTCCCCCACGGCTGCAGGATTGATGACTTTTTTTGAACTCCAACGGAAGCTTTGAAAGAAATAATAGTTTTTAGGAGCGCCTGGGTGGCTCAGTCGGTTAAACGTCTGACTCTTGATTTCGGCTCAGGTCGTGGTCTCAGGGTTTGTGGGATTGAGCCCCGAGTCAAGCCTGCTTGGGTTCTCTCTCCCTCTCTCTCTGCCGCTCCCCTGCTCACATGCACTCTTTTTCTCTCTCTCTCACAATAAATAAATAAATGTTTTTTTTAAAAAAAGAATAGTTTGTAAATAGAAGCGTGGTCACCATTGGTAGAAACTTGCTGGTGGTGGAGATCTCTTGGGCAGGGATCTTATCGTCCAAAGTCTTCATTTCCCATTCAGGGGAATGAGGCTCAGAGAGGGGAGGTGACCTGGTCAGGGTTGCACAGCAGAATTGGAAGCAGAATCCAGGCCTCTTCACTTCCATCCTGATAGTTCCTTTCTTAAAGCCTAGTGGTGGGGTGCCTGGGTGGCTCAGTCGGTTAAGTGTCCGACCTCGGCTCAGGTCATGATCTCGCGGTCCGTGGGTTCGAGCCCCGTGTCGGGCTCTGTGCTGACAGCCTGGAGCCTGTTTCAGATTCTGTGTCTCCTTCTCTCTCTGACCCTCCCCCGTTCATGCTCTGTCTCTCTCTGTCTCAAAAATAAAATAAACGTTAAAAAAAAAATTTAAAGCCTAGTGGTTTCCCCCAATTTTTCTGTCTGCCACTTTGCGTGGCTGAAACCTTAGGAGGACGCAACAGAGAAACAGGGAGAGAAAAGCCAAGTTGCTCTCCGGGATGAGGGAGGGCTGGGCTGCCGTCCCGGAGATGGCTCACAGTGCAGGTGAGGAGGGCCCTAAGGGCAGGTGAAGGTGCTCGTCTGTGTGATCCGCTGGGTCCTGCCCTCCACCCACTCAAATCACGTGTCCTGGCTAAAGTTTACATCCTTGGAAAAATAATGAGGGTTGGTCACTAATGGGCCCTTGAGAGTTGTCACCTGCCTGTCGATAATTATAGAGCTTTAATGGGGCTAATTCAGAGAAAATCAGGCTCAAGCCCCTGTCAGTTCCTCTAAGGCCAAACATCCCTTTGCTCTGCTGATGGAGACTGACAGCATCATTTTGACCTTGGTTTGCACCTGGACTTTCCTCACCCGTACACTCTTGGGGATAGGAAATCTGCCCTGGTTGTTCTCTTTTCTTTTTTTTTTTTCTTTTTGAAGAAAAATGTCAGCCTCTCAAATAGTTTTAAAAAACTATGGCAAGGGGCGCCTGGGTGGCTCAGTCGGTTGAGCGTCTGACTTTGGTTCAGGTCATGATTTCATGGTTTGTGGGTTAGAGCCCCATGTCAGACTCTGTGCTGACAGCTCAGAGCCTGGAGCCTACTTTGGATCTGTCTCCTCTCTCTCTCTCTGCCCCTTTCCTGCTTCCACTCTGTCTCTCAAAAATAAATAAATTAAAAAAAAAAAAAAAAAACTATTGCAAGAACCACAGAAAAATGGTCAAGCCTGAGTTGAAAGCATTTCCTAGTTGGGAAAACTGAGGCACTGAGCCAAGAACTTCAGGAAGGTACAAAGAAGAACGAGTCATAGCCTCTGTTTCCCAGCAGCTCTGGGGCAGAGGATTAGAACTTTAGGACCTTTGTAAGTCTAATCATTCTCCTGCTTTAAATTATTCAAAGGTTCACCACTGCCTCCTGGACTCAGTTTAACCTCCTTGGTGTAGCACTGAAGGCCCTCTGTGATATGACCACCTTGTCCTGAGCCACTTGACGGGCACCTGTGCCGGGCTGTGTTTCCTACGCCTCTCTACCTGTGCACACGGCACTCCCTCTGCCAGGAGCACCTCTCTTTTCTCCTTCCACTGTGCCAGCCTGCTTCTTCCCTTCTCCCAGCCTCAGAGCAGAGCCTTCTCTGTGGGTAAACTCTGTGCATGCTAGCGCTTATCCTTCGGGTTCCTGCCTCCCTGTTGTCACTGCTGGGCTACTTGTGCATCTCGGTTTCCGTGAAATCCCTCATGTCAGAGATTGTGTCTCGGGCATTCGTGAATCTCAGCACAGTGCCGGCCGTACAGTTGGTCTTGTAACGTTGAATCCATAGAAATATGGCGTGAGCAGGACATGACTGGGCACAAAGGAAGGGGAGTCACAGCCAGCAGGGACCAGAAACGCTGCCAGCTGAGGGCCTTCGGGACAGCGATTCCTCCACTCCATCCTCACTCCAGGCCTCCAGGGGCATCGCTCCTGACCCAGACCAGGGCGAATCATGCAGGGGCAGGTGTGAGCACGGGCATGTGATGCAATTCTGGCCAATGAGACAGAAGGACAGGTCTCCTGGGGACTCTGAGAGAGCTGTCCTCACCCTCGAACCGAGATACGGGCAAGGAAACTCGCCCTTGTCAAATTTAGGATCTTCTTGTTACATGTGACACCTGGACCTGAAGCGGCCGCCTTGCACCGGGAGGGAGGTCGGCCTACGAAGAGAAGAGCATGGCCGAGTGGAAAGGGGGGCAGAACCATCACCTCCCAGGTTGCTGATGAGACACTGCATAAACCTACCTGCGGGTCCCACGATCTCAACTGTCCTCACTGTTTAAGGCACTTTGAGTTTGCTGTTACTTACAACCTGGATATTCTAGTCTTTATAGTTTTGAAGAAGGGCCTGGGTCTCCCAGGTGGAGAGTGGGTGGGAGGGCATCAGCAGGGGAGAAGCACATGCAGAGGGCGGGGCCCGGGGCCCTTCTCCAGGGCAGCAGGCAGCCCAGCCCAGCTTGGCCAGGCCACACCGTGGACCCGTGGGAGGAAGGGCGCTTCTAACTCCAACGTTCACTGCGTTTTCTCCCCACCATCGCCCCCTATTAGATCAGTTTGGAACATGCGAATTTTGTGCTTGTGCCTGGAGGTGCCTTAATAAAGGATGGGCTTTAAAGAGAAGAGGGGGAAAGGCTGAATAAATACACAGCACTTCATTCTCAGCCTTGGACAACAGAGCAACCGCCCTAATTTCTTTTTGTTAGAACAGAGATAATCCAATAATTAGGGCAGCAAATAGCATAACCCTGGCTAAAGCCCTAATGAACCATCTGGCTTGAATCACTTAGGCTTATTCTAGGGATCTGGCTGGTAGGGCTGAGAGGGGGCCTCGGCCTGGGGTATCTGCTGAAGAGCGATTCCACCCCCAGCCTGGTCCCACCACAGGAAGGAGCTGAGTTTTCTGTGTTCCCATGCCTAGGATGTTTGCTCGGTCACTGATGGGATCCAAGTCTGGGGTGGGCTGCTGCTGGAAGGGGACAAGGGGGCCCAAGCTGGCCGTGGCTCAGCCATATGCCCTCCTCCTTAGCTCTTTTCAACAGACTGCCTGGTGTCATGGGTGTGGCCAGCCCACAGTTCAGGCTGGCAAGGCTGTGTCCAGGATGGCCTCGCATTGCCCACCTCAACTGAGTCTGTCCCCTGCTGGGACACGTGAGCTCCCTGGGCCCCACGACCCTGTCCTGTTTCCCTTTGCCCCACTCTCTGCTGCTGGGACAGTGCTCAGTGACAGGCTGCTGAGTTGATGGACTGGAGATGAGGCAGCTGGCCTGAGTTTGGGACTTTTGGGCCACCTTGCCTGGGGGCTTAGGGAGAGCCCAAAGAGATGACAAGATTTCTCACCTCATAACAGTGTGTCATCCAGAGGGCCCTTGGTGGCACCAGGAGGGTTCCCTGAAGTTCACGGGGAAGCCCTGCCCTGCCAGCTCACTCCCTTGGCACAGCAGGAAAGATGTTGGAAGGGCAACAGGTTCCCTAACCCTTCTTCTGGAGGTGGCTTTGGATTCATCACATCCAAAGGGGTGACTTGGGTCCCAGTTAGGTCCTTCCCAGATGCATGGCAAGTAAGGGGTTGTGATTTGCCCAGGGTGCCAGGAGCTGAGGGTGGGGAAGATCCAGGGCACAGCCCTGAGGACAATCAACTCCCACGACCCAATTTCCCCAAGCTGTCAGGGAAGGGAGTGGGGGGGGAGGACTGCTTCCCACGTCCATGCCCCACAGCAAGGCCTCAATACACCAGGTTCCGACCAGAGTGCTGAGGTCCAGGCCCACTGAAAGTACCTAGCACTTTCCTCCCCTTGGAGGATGGAGGTGGGGCCTCCTCCAGCTCTCTCCTCCAGGGCCTCCCTAGGTAGGACAATGAGCGGTGGGCCACCTCCCCCAGTGGTGCTGATGACCTCCACATTCAGCTTCCAGAGGCACATTTTATGCTTGGGGAAACTCCAGGCCGCCGGCCTTAGGCCCTTGTGAGCACCCAAACCAGGCGCAGCCACCTTCGCGGGCGCAGCACGTGGTTGTGGAGGGACTCAGCTGAGCGGGCCTTGGCGAAGCCTGCGAGCGACCCCTGCGTGGAAAGGTTCACATCCCTGGCAGGTCTGGTGTGGCAGGTCTCACAGTGACGCGACTGGGGCTACAGCTCGGCTGGGGACCCTAGCGAGCAGCGCTGCCCCCCAGCCCCACCCCGGTCTCGTGCCAACCCCTTCCGAACCAGGCAGCGACCTCTTCCACCTCGGTTTCCCCTAAGGTCCCGGGTCGGGCGCGGCAGGCACCCTCAGAGACGGGAAAGGCGAGGAGCTCCCGCCGGCCGGGCCTCGGCCCGGGGACCCCCGCGCTTGCCCACTCCCTGGGGCTCGAGGCTCAGCCCTGGGAGGAGGAGGCGCGTGCTGGGTGACCCTTCCTGGCGGTGGAAAGCGGGCGTAACAGGTGGGCGAAGGTCGGCGGCCCGGGAGAGCTCCGCGGCGGGGTCCACGGACACAGGAGGAAGAACGGCCAAGGTTTTTCCAAAGGACAAGCGGCCCCGCGGTCCTTTGGTGCTCGGCCCGGACGCCAGCGAAGCCGCCGCGCTCTGCGGGCCGCCGGGCCCACTCGGGAGGCCGGCCCGGCCCCGGGCCCCTCCACCTCCCGCCCCAGCCCGGCCCCTCGGCTGCGGGGCCGGCCCCGCAACGGGTTCCCAAGCGGGGAGGACCGCGCGGCAGGCAGCAACTGGTGTCTCCCCGGGGCGCAGCTCCGCCCTTCCCCGGAACAAAAGCCACCGCCCGCGCCGGAGCTCCCCGCCAGCGGGCCGAGAGGGGGCGCGGCGCGGGCTCCGAGAACCGGGCCCCGGAAATGGGACACCCCCAGGGGGCGCCCCCAAACTTCCCACCTCTCCAGTGCGGGTCAGGGAGGGGTTCGGGGCTGCCTCTGTAGGGCGCGCGGAGAGCGCACGGAGCGGGCGAGGGGCCGCTACCGGCGGGGGTGGATGCCGGCGAAAGGGGAGACCGCAGGGGGCCGGGGCACCCGCGAG